GAAGAGGGCCTAGTTGCTGACGGGGTCCCTGAGGGAGGCTCGGAGAGAGCAGTCAGGTGGGAGTTTACAGTGTAAACTGGACCAGATTAGGAATTCACCCCCAAAAAGGCCTTAAAATGGAATAAAATAAGAGCAATATTCACTAACTACCAGCAGTGTAGTGTCTCTCACGTTATAAGTGTTCAACAAGGTAGTTGTTGTTTTCAAGTCATGGCACGTTAGACTGTATTCCAGATTTTTTCCTTAACGTTAATTAGTCTGTTGGATTTTGAAGTAAATTTTTGGGAAATGTTAGGAATTCAGAACTGAGCCAGCAGAATTAGCCAAGTGAATGAAAAGAAGGGTAACAAAGAGCTGGAAAAACAATTCCCATAAATCGCCCCTCCCCCTTAGATTTGCATTTCACATGTATTCTTTCTCAACCCCATCAGCAGTCCTTTGAGATAGGCAGGTCAGGTGGTGTGACATCCGTTTAACAGATGAGGTTAAAAGGCTAGTTAAAGATAGTAAGTATTGGAGCTGCAACAGGGACCAAGGACCTCTCCCGGCTAGATCAGTCCCTTTGCAGCTCTTCCTCACAGCTGCTCCTACTGTAGCCAAAATGGCACCAACTGTTAGGAGGCTATAGGAAATGCAGGCAGCTTCTGCCAACCCAAAGCAGCTCCCCCTGTGGCATTCTCTGCAGCTAGACCTTAGTGTGGGATTAGGAACAGGTGCCCTGGAGCCATAATTCCCAGCTTGAATCCCAGCTTCACGACTTACTGCTGTGTGGCTTTAGGCAAGTTATTAATTTCCCGGTGCCTTAGTTTCCTCATCTATACAGTAGGGATAATAATAGTGCCTACTCCATAAGAAAGGTACTTTAATTAATAAAAGTAAAATGCTTAAAACTGGGGCCCTGGCACAGAGTAAACACTTAAATCTTACCTATGGTCATGACAATATCCCCTGGGCAGCCAGACCAAATTATTTACTAAGCAGATCCTATTACAATAGCTAGTGTCTCCTTAGTGCCTACTACGTTCCAAGCACTGGGCTAAGCACTTTGTGCATCATCTCATCCAACTCTCAAAACCACCATGGGAGCAGGAATGTGTTCCCACTTTATGGCCAAGGAAATTAAAGCTCAGAAGCTTTAAATCACTTGACCAAGGTCGCTCAACTAATACATGGCTGAGCCAGGATTTGAAGCCAGGAATGCCTGACTCTAAAGGTGTGAAAAACTTCTGATATTTGTGTTTCTTACTCACACCCCCTGACACCAATACCCTCATATTACAAAGAGGGAAGTGGGAGCCAAATGACTAGCCACGGGATCAAATCCAGGTTTCCTGAGACCCAGCCAGGGTTCTTGCCTCGGATTGACCAGAGCTGCTCCCAGAGAAGGCTAGAATGTTGGCCTCTTCGCCCTCCTCACACGCCCATGGCCCAGGCATGCTACAAAGCCTGATGGCTGGGTGTTTTCCCCTAGAGTGACTGCACCAAGCTGTTCAACCAAGGCATTGGAGGGGAGCAGGCCCAGGCCAAGTTTGACAGCTGCCTTTCTGACTTGGTTGCCGTGTCCAACAAATTCCGAGACCTCTTGCAGGTAAGCCCCAGGTTCAACTGCTGCCTGAATCCTGGGCCTGTGTCTTGCTCTGAGAATATTGTCACTGGCTTATCATGGGCTTCATGCATATAAGAAAACTGGAGGCGGGGAAGAGGAGGCACGAGGGAGCAGAGTACAAGCCACTGAACTTGTGCGAGTCCCTTGAAGACTAAAGGTTTTTCAGCAGTGCAGCTGTCACGTTGACAAGATGGCATTCTGGTCCTCTAGAATCTCCACAGTGCCAGGAGCCCTCAGAAGGGTCCTCAGAGGAAATTGAACCATGTGGGTACTGAGATCTGCTTGGCCTTAGCCGAAGGTGCTGCCTAGTACCAGGCACTCAGAAATCTCTTCTTTCTAGAGTTTAACAGACCAACCCCATGGTCTCATCTCTGGCCTGGACCTGAATCAGAATATATCTGGAAAGGAACAAGTTGTTCCTGGAGTCTTTGATTAGCATTATTTCTGTTAGACTTCAGACAGGGCCTGCAGAAAAGCCTCATGACTGGAAGGATGCCCTGACAGTCAAAGGATGGGTAGAGCAGGAGAAAGGGAAGGGATGGAGGCATGTGCCTTCTGTGTCTGATGCGTCTTTGCCTTGTCCTACAGGAAGGGCTGATGGAGCTAAGCAGCACAGCCATCAAGCCGCAGGTGCAGCCTTGGATCAACACCTTTCTCTCTGTTTCCCACAACATCGAGGAGGTCAGCCTGACCACGGACGGCCACAAAGCCCAGGATTACCCCTCATTCCCTGGCCCACAGCTGGAGTGCAGTGGAGCTGTCTGAACAGACTAGACCTTACGTATTTCTCAGGCCCACTTCCCCTGTGCTCGAAGGCTAGGTTCGTCCCAGAAACAGGTGGTTCCTCCCAGAAACAGGTTGTTCCTACAGTCAGAGGGCTCCGAAAGACACCTAAAGGGAGTTTGCCTTGACCTGACGCATTCTCATTTATTGAGGCTCTTTTTGCCCCACATCTTATAGACTTGGGACCTCCCTCCCTCCCTCTTTCTCTCCCTCTCTCTCTCCCTCCCTCTCTCCCTCCCTCTCTCCCTCCCTCTCCGCATTGAGTCTTCATTGCTGTGCGTGCGCTTTCTCTAGTTGCAGTGAGCAGGGGCTACTGTTTGTTGCGGTGCGTGGGCTCTAGGCGCACAGGCTTCAGTAGCTGTGGCACGCGGGTTCAGTAGTTGTGGCTCGCGGGCTCTAGAGCGCGGGCTCTAGAGCGCAGGCTCAGTAGTTTTGGCACACGGGCTTAGTTGCTCTGCAGCATGTGGGATCTTCCCAGACCAGGGCTCAAACCCGTGTCTCCTGCATTGGCAGGTGGATTCTTAACCACCACACCCCCAGGGAAGCCCCTCTAGCCTAATCTTTTCATTCCTGTATAACATGAGATACAAGAGGGGATAAACTGCCAGGAGCTTTGCCATATTGCGTGGGCCACTGCTGCAGCCCGGGGCTGTTTGCTGGTCAGAAGCGTGATGCAGAAACAGCAGCAGTTTCTGCCAGCCTGATTTTAAGCTGATTTTAGGCTGGATGAGTTATAAGCTACAAGGGTGGGGGTGAATGGTCCTTCTTGGAGACGCCCCTGGTGACCCACCTTGCTTCCTGATAATAGGAAGAATTCAATGACTATGAGGCCAATGACCCTTGGGTACAACAGTTCATCCTTAATCTGGAGCAGCAAATGGCAGAGTTCAAGGTGAGCAGGGGCTCTTGGGACCAGCCTATAGAATTACCCACCTCTGCCCCAGTCAGCAGCCTGAGGCTTCTCATCACACTCCTGCTGGGAACCCAGGAAGCTCTTCCGAGCCCCAGGCCATAGAAATACTCCCACAGGAGAAAGACTCCTGGGAGGCAGAGGGGTGAGTTGGGACTCCCGCTGATGCCTAACCTGTTTGCAGGCCAGCCTGTCTCCAGTCATCTACGACAGCCTGACCAGCCTCATGACCAGCCTTGTCGCAGTCGAGTTGGAGAAGGTGGTGCTAAAGTCCACCTTCAACCGGGTAATGTCAAGGAGGCACAGGCCCCCCCGCTCTGTTGCTTTCCCTCTAAGGAAGACAAGTCCGTCCCCTCTGTCTGCCCAGGCCCTGCATATCTAGGCTCAGTCCTGCCCTGAGGCAGTGGGGCCAGCTGAGGCACCATCTGAGGCCCAGCTGGCCTTGCAGCCCAGCACTGAGTGAAATTGGGGGCCAGTTCTGCTTGGCCAGAGGGCCAGACCTTAAACAGTGACTGGGCCCGTGTTCCCTTGCAGCTGGGCGGTCTGCAGTTTGACAAGGAACTGAGGTCACTCATTGCCTACCTCACCACGGTGACCACCTGGACCATCCGAGACAAGTTTGCCCGGCTCTCCCAGATGGCCACAATCCTCAATCTGGAGCGGGTATGTAGGGCTCCCTTGGCCTAGCCAGGGAAAGGTGACTGGGAAGAGAGGCAGAGATAAAATTTGAATCCCTGCCACTCCCTCAAAACCAAGTCTCCACCAGCAACCCAGCCCTGCAGGCCACCTTCTTCCTGGGCACCCCTGCTCTGCCTCTGGTGGAGCCCATGGCCTTCTCTCAAGATAGCCCCTCCTTGCTGACTCGTCTCTGTTCTTCCCCGTAGGTGACCGAGATCCTAGATTACTGGGGCGCGAACTCTGGCCCATTGACGTGGCGCCTCACTCCTGCTGAAGTACGCCAGGTGCTGGCTCTGCGCATAGACTTCCGCAGCGAGGACATCAAGAGGCTGCGCCTGTAGCTGCCAGGGTGACCCCACCTGGCCCATCACACTTTGGGGCCCATTCCCTAAGTGGCCACAGCCCAGACTGTTCCACTGCTGGCAGCAGGGAAACAAGGCCCCGACGCAGTCCACTCTCTGTTCTCAGACCTGTCAGGGTGCTTTGGGAGACAGTCTCTCCCCACCAAGTGAGGTAGGTCCCCCTTGGCTCCTAATTAGGTGGGGAAGACAGGGCAGGCCAGTCTCCTGCACGGGTAGTCATTCTCTCGTCCTTGGACACTGCAGCAAACGGGCTGCCAGTCTTAAAGGACTTAGGTTTATCTAGGGACCTAAGGAATTAGGTTTATTCCGAGGAGAGGCTGTGATGCTTATGATCACCCTAAATAAAGATACTCCTTGAAGAGATGCCAGTGTGCTGTTGCCAGGAAGGGCTGGATGCTACAGAGCAAGACAGGTGCATCAGTTGCACTGAAATGTGAAGGCAAAAGCCTAAATCCTCAGCCTCCTCCCACACCCAGAGAGGCACATGGCCACCACCAGGACCCACATGATAACAGGTACCTCATCCAATCCCGGACCCTCATCCCATCTCTTGGGCCCTCAGCACCAGAAGTTGGATCATCCCAGGGGCAGTTTCCCACAGTGCCAGGGGAAGTGGGAATTGCTCCCAGCAGGAACAAAAAAGATCTTTATGAGGACAACCTTGAAGAGCAGAGTGAATTTATTCCAAGAAGATTGCAGTCCTGAGAACTCACGGCCCACAGGCACATGGCAGAGTTGCTGGTTAAGGCCACGATTAGCAGTGACTTGCTGCAGGACTGCACTGGCTCTCTGCCACAGACACGAGTGTGGAGCCTCATCCCTGTTCCCACTCCCCCATTAAGTCAGCTTGGGAGTGAGTGTGGAACAGGAAGTCTCTACTCAGGCAAAAGCCTGACCTCTAAGGAAGGCCACAGGAAATGCCTCAAAGGGCCTCTTCAGGGTCGGCCTTACCAAGGGAACCCAGCCATCTGCCAAGGCTGGTTGTCATCCCCTTCTTCCAGGCCCTCATGGAGAGAGAGAAGGCCAAGGCCCAAGCTGGGCCATCAGATTTGTAAAGGTCACAGTGGACGCTGAACTTAGGACCTTCCTGTGTCCAGATGGAGCAGACACCAAGCCTAGGCCCCTGTCAACCAGGAGGTCATAGTCCTGTTCCCAAGCACCGTCTGTGCCTCACCAACTTTTAGAAAGGGCTGGGCCTGAGCTCAGGTTGGCTTCCTTTGGAAGCAGATTCACAAAGAAGTGGGTGAAGAGTAGAAGACTGAGCGCTCCCGTGGGGGAAGGAAGGGAGGGCCTGCTATAGCTCCAGGCTTTCTCCTTGCAGAGGGACAAGCCTCATGAGAAGGGGCATCAGGCTGAGGTCTCAGTCCCCCAGCAGCTGCAGGCTCAGGCCCTGAGTGTCCACTTCTACCAGGTGGATGCTGTAGTTTCCGAGGCCCTAGGAGCAAAGGACAGGAGGTGCTAAGAGGGTTCTGGGTGGGTTTTAGGCTTTCGGGAGGCTGGACTGTGGCTGCAGGGCCAAGGGGACTTACACCTGTAGCCGCTGGTTAGCTGGTGGGCCACAGGGAGGGCTCCTGTCCCGCGCCAGATACCATACCCCGACCACACCATACCTCAGTCTTGGCCAGCACAGCCTCCAGAGCCTCCTTTTGCCGCGGCTCCTTGGTCAATAGGTAGAGAAAGCCCCCGCCACCTGCCCCTGCCAGGCTCTGGCCATGCACGTGGGGGGCCAGGACATCCATCATACGCCGCACAGCCAAGGGCTCACAGCCTGGAGCCATGAGCTTCTTCTGCTCCCAGTATGATGTCAGGCACTGGCCCAGCAGAGGCAGGCTCCCTGGGGTGGGGGCAGAGAGGGGACTTGTGTGCCTGGGCCAGGATATTCACTCAGTGCCCCTCTGTAGACTGGATGGGGTGCCAAGAGGCACTTCTTAACCAGTGTCATAGTTAAGAACCTGGGTTCAGTACTCACTGGAAACAGGAGTGATAAAGCCCACCTCACGGGGTTGTTTGAGGACTAACGAGCACAGAGCAGTTGGCGTGGTACCCGGCACAGTGTTCACTGAACTGTGTAACCCGAATCAGCTCTGACTCCCTGGAACTCGGCTATGGAGCCAAGCCTCTTCCCCCATCTGCTTCCTGGTAGGTGGGGCTGGAGGCTTTTCCCAGGATGCAAGTATTGACCTGAGACGTGACTCCCACCTAAGTGTGGGACCCTGCAGAGGACAGAGGCTTCACACCTAGGGCTGGTGCCAAGTCTGCAAAGGCCCCGGGCCTCAGACCCACAGGCAACAGGCACTCACTCCTGGTGCCTGAGCTCCGGGGAAGAAGCGCCTTACCTTGGCGGAAGGCTTCAGCACACTCCTCGGTGTGCCGCACCAGGTTGTGGGCATTCTGCACAACGGCAGGCAGCCGGGCATACCAGCTCCTCAGCACGTCCTACAGGTGGGGCAGGAGGGGTGCAGTGAGGCTCAGCTTAGCTGAGCCATCTCGCGTCCCTCCCTTCTGGGGCCAGGGCTCACCTGCAGCAGATTCCGGGCCAGACGGGTCTTGCCAGTGTACACCAGGAGCAGGTGGTCATTGAGCTTCTGGACAAAGCCCGCAGGCACAGTGATCTCTTCCACTTCCACCTTCAGCGGCAGCTGAGGCCGGGAGCGCCCCACCTTGATGCCAGGCATTAGGCCACCCACTTGGTCCTGCCAGCCACCTCCTGCGAGAGCCCGGGCCCCGTCACTGTTGGAGCCTATCTGGCCCAGCTTCCCTCTCCCAGTACAGGCTCCTGGCCTTGCATCCCTGGCAGGGACCAGTGTGGGAAGACAGCTTCCCCCCACAACTTCAGCTGGGCCAGGTGAGCTGTGCAGCTTCTGCCCCGGCCCTGGGAGCAAGTTGAACCCAGCAATGGAAGGGGCTTCATTCTGGAGCCAAGCTTAGAATGCACAAGGCCTGAGTTTTGTTGCAGACCTAATGTGTACTTGGAATTGGGGTAAACCACATCAAAGGATTAAGACCTTACACTAACCTTTCCCCCTGAGGAGGGAGTACATAGGACTTTCCCTACACCTAACAGTCCCTGCACCCTGGCTTGCCTGATAAAGGGTGTTGATGGTGGAAATAAGCTTCTCAGCATTTCTTATCAAACTTAAAATAGCTTGTTCACATTTTGCTTTACCAATGAAAGGTACGGATCTCTTTTCTTCTTGCAGCTATATAAAAATGTCAAAACTTGAGATGATTCTGGGATAGGCCTTTGATATTTGGAGAAGAGTCTGCAAGGATTTCGAGTATAAAATGCAAATGGCAGGAGGCATCTGGAACTTTACAGCCAAAATGTGGTTAGCGTCAGGCCTGGAATGTCAAGAACTCCTTAATTGCACCCCTCTCCTTCGGAGCACGTAGCGTAGCTTGTAATTATACATTTATTGGAGTGGTTATTGATCAGTGTTTGTCTCCAATAGACTGTATAAGACTTTTGATGGCAGGGATGCTGTTTTTGCTCGTTTTATCCCCAGGGCCCAATACAGAGAGGGTATTCGATAAATAGTTGTCATTTGACCAAATGAGAGATATGAACAGTGTACCTCAAAAGAAAACTAAAAAAGCTTCCCCATCTGCCCCTTTTGCTAATGACTACCTATTATGGGATGTGAGTCATTACAATGAAAGGAGGGAGCTAGGCTACAAAGTGGCCAGAGAAGATACCATAATCAGGCATCTATACATCTTTGTGGCAGTTTCCCTCCCAGAGTCATGCTGAAGATGAGGCCTGGCATCCTGAGGTGACCAGAGCACCCTAGAGCCAGACAAACCTCTGGCTGCTCTCCATTGTGCATGGATGCTAAGGGGCCACAGTGATGAGTAGGAGAAGCTAGTGACATTCTGTATGATCACAGCCATGGTGCTAGTGGTGACATTCTGTATGATCACAGCCATACACTTGGTACCCCATCATGTGGTGGGGGAAGCGAGGGACAAGTGGCCCTAGCCCAAGAGAGAGGCACGGTGCTGAAGAACAGACTGAAGGTCCTGTCCCCTAATCCAAACCCAGCCCTGCCCTGAGGGACAGCCCTGGGTAGGAACAGAGACATGAGGAATACCTAACACACATGAAAGGTGCAGCACAGACTCTTAACACTTAGTAGGTGCTCCTACATCAAGTCCTTTGAGGTAGAAATATTTCATTTTGAAAACCACCAGAGGGAGAGTGTCAGAGTGATAAGAGGGAAGTTCTAACCATTGTAAGGAGCAGCACAGTTCTGTCTGCAGGTCCAGGGAAGCCCCTGGAGGCCCCTGAAAAAGTTCCAGTGACCTCCCTCTGCCCTGGGGCAGGCCATACCTGTGGTAAGCACCTGCTCCAGATGCAGCACTGCGTGGATCAGGGCCTCCGTGCCCACCGCCCGGCCTGCGGCCCGCTGCAAGGCGGCCAGGGCAGCCCCCGCCAGGATGCTGCTGGTGCCTGCAGGGCACAGAGGAGAGTACCAGCCATGAAGCAGCTCTGCCCAGCCCAATCCTGCCCCACCCCCTCCCTCTCCACTGGGCAGAGGCTGGGGAGAGGATTGGAGGCAAAGCTGAAAGGGGGAACGGAGTCAGTGAGCAGCAGGGAGACAGGGCCTGCTCACCAAGGCCAGAGCCATGGGGCAGCTCGGACCAGGTATGCAGCTCAAAGCCGCCCCCAAAGGTACACAGCAGCTGCTCACTCAGCGAGAGCTTGGAGTGGACACTCACGATCCCCGCACAGATGAAGGCCGCCTTCAACAGCGCCCCTGTGGAGTGAGCAGCATCCGGCAAGGAATTTGGTCTCCAGGGGTGGAAACAGACACCCCACCCATCTCAGCCTGGCCTGGGGCTCATCTAGGGGATAAAAGCCCAGCAGCGGTGCAGACCCCATCCCCAAGCCACAAAAGGTCCTCTGGGCTCCATAACACCAGCAAATGTGCCAGCTCTACCTCCTGTGCCTGGGCAGCGTAACGTCAGGGCTCCTCCACCAGACCGGCTCGCCCTCAGACCAGGCACCCATGGCCTGCAGGGTCTCTCGGGTTCTGCCCCCGTCCCCCAGCTGGCTAGGTGTGCCATCCCCACCTGCGCAATTCACAGGTGCCCTGACCTGGGGCATGGGGCTGGCAGTAATCCTGCAGGTCATCCAGGCTCCCGCATACTATCTTCGTGGCCATCTCGTCCTGCCGAGGTCCCAATGCCAGCCACAGCTCGGGCTCTGGGATGCAGCGAGCCCTGGCCCCAATGGGCCGGCGGCCATTCACTCGCACAGCCAGGCCCAGCACTGCCCCACCAAGCTCATAGGCAAGGGGTGGCGTGTCACTCCAGCCCCCTGTGGCAATTGAACAAGACCAAGCTGGTCACAGGGGCTGCCAGCTCAGTTCTGGGGTGGCTACCCTCATCCCTACCGCCCCCCCAAGGGGCTCACCAGAGAAGTCCACTCGAGCCGGGCACTCAGCCACCACCCACTGCCCAGGTGCTGGCAGCTCTACCGGCACCGAGGAGACAAAGTGCTGGGCTGACATCACAGCCTGGCGGATCAGGATCTGCCCAGCCCCCTCGTAGTGGCGGGCAGCTCGTACTAGTAAGGCTGGTCTGCCAGGAGGGAACAGAGAGATGGTGGCATGGAGCCCCAAGCTGGGGGCGGGCTGCTTGGGTTTGGGGACTGACTGCCCTAGGTGACCTGAGGACACTCCACCTCTCTCTGGGTTTCCACCTCCAAGGACGGCAGGGGGCTACTCCAAGGGTTTTGACATCATTAGCACCCACCTGCTCAGCCACTTGTCCCGCTCCTCGGCAAGCGCCGCCACGCCCCGCGCCAGGTCTCCACACTCCAGGTACGAGAAGGGCCGCACCCACTCAGGGTTGGCAGCTGGCCCACTCCGTAAGCCTCCTTGGCCCTCTGCCATGCAGCCCAGGACATCCGCCACACAGGCCAGTGCCCGGGCTGCCACGCCAGGATCTCCCACACCAGCTGCCACTGAGGGACCAGGAGTCAGTAGTAGCTGGGGAGGAGGCCCGCCCTCAATGCCCCCTGCCCTCAAGCACCCCAGACCTCTTCACTTTTGCCCAAGATGTATCCTTGCCTGGGAATGCTCCCCACTCTTCTGCCTGGCAAAGTTCTCATCCCACCAGCCCCAGCCCAGACATGCCTCTGCACCCCCCACCCAGTATGCCCTTAATGAGTAAGAGCTCAGGCTTGGGGGGCAAACCACCTGGGTTCAGTCTCAGCCCCCCACCAACCAGCTGTGTGGCCATGAGTGAATAACTGAAATGGGGAATGAGGCAGTCCCTGTGAGGCTAAGGCTGAGTCCCCACAGAATGCCTGGGTCCCATGCAGGGCGGGCCACATCCCCCGGGCTGTGCTGGAGCTCTTCACCCACATCCAGCCCCCCCCCACCCCCGCACAGAACGTGCAGCCTTTGCCGATGCTCACAGGACCCAGAGGCTCAGCCCCAGGCCTCCGCCTCTCACCAAACTCCCCACTAACAGGGATGGAGCTTCCCAGAAACCTAAAAGTTAAGTCCATTTGTGTCTTTCCCCTGCTTTAAAGTCTCATGACTCCCTAGTACCCTCAGGTCGATGACCTAGAGGGCAGACAGGGCAGGTGATGCTGGGTCTGGCTTCCCAGCATGGGTGCCCAGCACACTCACCCTGGTCCAGGGTGGCCATCAGGGGCCCAGGACAGCCCTCGCGCACAGCAGCCTGGATCAGCGGGCGCAGGCTGAGGTCCTGTCGGGCCTCCAGCACGTGCCGCGCCTTATGCAGGGCCTGGCGGAAGAACAGGTGCCGGCGGGAGGCCAGTGTGGCAGCCCGATCCAGGCACGGCTGCAGCTGCTCCCATGACAGACGCCAGGAGGCTCGCCAAGCCCGCAGGGCCTTGCTCCCAGCCTCCTGGGGGTCCAGCATCCACAGCATGTCCTGGGGCCCCAGGGCCCTCGAGGGGTGGAGCACGGGAAAGAGACGGGCATTGAGAAGGCAGCGCTCAATGCGGGGCATGTCTGGGTCCCACAGGTCCCAGTCCCTGATGTGGGGAGAAAGAAGACACATGAGCAGGAGGGAAGCAAGTGCTCCTGCCTGGTCACCAAGACCTGACCACCTGTCAGCTGGGGGTTGGCTCATTCATGGGGACAGGACGAACTCCAGAGGCCGCACAAGCAGGCAATTCAGGGAGGGAGGCCCAGCTGCCCTGCCTCCTTCCCCAGGCCATTGAACAAAATCCCAAAGCCTGAGCACGGCCAGGAATTTGGAGTTGCCCAGGGAGAAGATGCTAGGGAAAATCAGGCTGCTCGAAACTACCCCAGGGGACTTCCCTGGTGGCACAGTGGTTAGGAATCCGCCTGCCAGCACAGGGGACACTGGTTCGAGCCCTGGTCCAGGAAGATCCCACATGCCGTGGAGCAACTAAGCCCACGAGCCGCAACTACTGAGCCTGCGTGCCACAACTACTGAAGCCCGTGTGCCTGTAGCCCATGCTCCGCAACAAGAGGAGCCACTGCAGTGAGAAGCCCGCGCACCGCAACAAAGAGTAGCCCCTGCTCGCCGCAACTAGAGAAAGCCCGCCCGCAGCAATGAAGACCCAACGCAGCCAAAAATAAATGAAATAAATTAAAAAAAAAAAAGACGACCCCAGACTGCAGGGATGGTGGGAGGTGGGGCAGGATGAGCAGAATGAGCCTCCAAGCAGCTACCACCCTGGCTGCCGAGACCCCCAGAGGCCCGTGGGGCCACCAACCCTACCGAATGCCTGTCTTCTGGAAGAACTGACTCCAAGACATGTTGAGATACGTTCCTGTCCCCTGTCTCTGGGGAAAGAGAAGGAAGCAGTCAGGGCTGCAGGGGCCACAGGAAGGGGTTAAGGGCAATAAGGCCAGAGGACAAGGATCTGCTCAAGAGGGGACAGGAAAAGAGACAGGGGCACTTAGGCAAGCAAGTTCTGAAACAGCATCAAGTCCTGGAGCTTCCACATTCCAGCCCGGGTGCCTGGAACTTGGAGCAGAATCCTGGCGCCTGACCCTCCATAACTGGCTCTGCAGCCCAAGGCGGGTCACCTCTCTCTCTGAACCTCAGTCTCCGGCCTGAAAAATGGGGATAAGAATCCCCACCCAGCCTGCGTCAGAGCAGCTGAGGAGGGAGGTAAAGGCCTGTTGAGACTCTACTGGCTACACTCTCCTCACTGCCTATCCCTCAGGTGAGCGCTCAGCGAGCCCTGCAGTGAAGCTGCGCTAGGACCCCCGGTGCTCCCCAAAGCCTAAAGAATGGGGGCGCGGGGAGGCGGGTGAGCACCTACTTCCCAGCTGTCGAGACGGCCAACGAGGGTGAAGGCCCGGCTGCGGGCGCCGTGCAGCTGCACATGGTGTCCCTGCAGGACGAGGTCGTGCAGCTCCAAGCCGTGCAGTGCCTCGGACTGGGCCACGTCCAGGCCACTCACGAAGCAGCCAGTGCCGATGTGAATGGGGCCCTGGCAGGAAAGCGGGCAGGCGTCCTGCGTGGGCAGGGGAACCCCAAGCACGCCCACAAAACACACAGGACCCTGGCTCCCGTACCCTTGCCCTCCCTCTGCCTGCCCTCTCAGGCCTCACCCGCAGGTGGCAGTGCTGCAGGACACTCCCAGGACCCAGCTGGACGGGGCCCTCCAGCAGGCAGCTGACCACAGAGCTCCCGGCCCCCAGTAGCTGCCGCTCCTGTGAAGCCAGGGAGAAAGCTGTGAGGGCCCGGGGCGGGGGCTGCCCCAATTCTCCTCCACAGCCAGAGCCAGAATTCCTGCTGCTCACTGCGCCTGTCGGCCAGCCAGATCCCTCTCGGTATCTCCCTGGCCACAGCCTCAGGCTGACTCCCATCCCATCTTGATTTCTGCTGCTCCCCCAGGGGCACGCTCTCCCTGCCTTCTCCTCCAAAGCAAATCTGCACCCAGTAGTGGAGGTCCCACCAGATGACAGCTCCCCCAGAAAACCTCTCCCACCTGTCCAGCTACCCCTACCCCTGCCACCCTGAGGGCCACCTCTGAACTCTACCTGCCCCATCACCATGAATTTGCCTGAATCCCCAAGCAGACCCTTCAGAAAGGGTGTGTGTGGGGGGAATCTTCTCTAGCTGCTCACTCAGACTTGGATGTAGAATCCTGACTTGGCCACTTACTGGCTCTGTGGTCTTAGGCAAGTAACTTAACCTCTCTGAGCCTCCAGTGACTCACATGCAAAATGGGGATAATAACACCTACACGCATAGATAATCTGTCCCAAGAGTGAGCTATTCCCTCCCCTCCCTGCATCCCCCCCATTCCTACCTGTCTTCAGGTACCCCGTAGGCCCCTCTGCTGGCCTTACCTCCAGGCAGGTCTTACCTCCACCTGGGAGTGCACGACCTGGGCCCCAGGAGCCCCCGGGAACGTGAGACAGTGCAGGAACTCACTGGCTGAGTTGGTCATGTAGTTGTAGCTGCCGTCAGGGACATATGCTGTAAAGATACAAGTACTGACCCCAACACCCTGCATGTTGCAGCTCTGACACCAGGCTGGGCCTCCCACCAGAAGACACATCTTCATCAGGGCCTGGGAGGGCAAGCATGGAAATGAGCCCGCTGTGCCAATGGGGAAGCTGAGATCCAGAGAGGCTCAGCAACCTGCCCAAAGTCACACAGCTAGAAAGTAGAAAGACCAGGACTGGAGCCCAAGAATGAGACAAAGGAAGAAGAGGAGAGTTACCTCAGCAGGGGACTTGGAACTGGGAGAGGGTAATTGTCTAGTCCATGCACTCACTAGGCCTGCCTGGTCCAGGAGCCTGGGGCCAGGCAGGTGGGGTGGGAGCCTCATTCTGGGGGCCTTCACTCCCATGGCCTCCCCACCCCGGAGAGCCAAGAGGCAGTACCCACCCACTGTGAGGGGCTGATCGCGAAGCTCCCTCCACAGCTCTGCCCGGGCTCCATGCCGATAACCTGCAATGTCCGCGTCACCTTGCCCCATCTCTGGGGGCTGCCCCACCAGGAAGTCCTCCCTTCTCACGTTCCGGGCCATGCAGAGCAGGATGTCAAAAAATAGAGACAGCTGGGACAAGGGCGGGAAGCACTGCTATTAGTGGGTTCCTAGGCTGAGCTGGGGCGGTTCCATCTCTAGAGACGCTGACATAGAGAGGGGAAAGGACTGGCCTGAGGTCACACAGCCAGGCTGCCAGTGTCAGTGCCTCGTGCCCAGGCCAGGACCTGCCAGTCCCCAGTCCCAGTCACCTGGACAGGCCGGGCTCCGGAGTCCAAGCCCATGTAGGTGCAGGCGTCCAGAGGCGGGCTCACATGGGTGGCCAGGAGGTGCTCAGCAGTTTCCACAGAGAAGAAGACAAGCCCAGAAACCTGGAGGGGCCCCCACAAGGGTCAGGTGGGAGACCCTGGGGCCAGCCTTGTGCCTGAGTTGGGGAGAGCCATGTGCAGATGGGCCAAGCAAGGCTGACTGCCACACCGGAAAGGATCATTCATCTTCTGGGCCACTCCAGCACCCAGACTCCAGGCTTACTGGAGGCAGCTCCACCAAGGGCCCCTCAGCAGGCAACTTCTAGGACCCCCTCAATTTTCAGGTCTCCTCCCAAACCCAGTTCTCCATCTTCCCTATAGTCTAGTCCCAGGCTCTTATCCACCACTCGTACCTTTGTCCTTCATTCTAGAAGGATCCCCTGAGTCTGGTTCCAGCCTTTCTCATTTGGGACAAGACCCTGAATTCCAAGGCTACCCCTCCTCAGATTTTGGCTTCACCTGCTCCCCTGAATACCAGTTCCAGATCTTCCTCAGATTCTGGTTCTAGCCTTCCCCAGAAGGAGTGGGGCTCTGCCCTGGCAGCCATACCAGTGGCACCCGCCCATCAGGCCTGGCACATCGTTGTATCTCTGCCTCGGTGCCTTGGTAATAAATGTCCAAAACGAAGCCCTACGTGGGAGCAGAAAACAGAGTTAGGGAAGGGAGCAACAGAGGATTACGAAAGAGGGCATGCAAGGGTGTTCTCCAGATGTAAACCCAGGATGCAAGTCTGACAGGCCCCAGCATACTCCTGGGGATACAAGTGCCTGAGACCTCCCCCACCCTCACAGCGGAGGGCAGGCTTCAAATGTCTCCACAGCCCCAAGCCTGGGCACAGAGCCTGGCACGGGATCAGGGGCAATTCATGTTTGGTAAAAGACTAAGTGAGCACAAGAGCTGCTGCCATGGGGCGAAACTCCTCCAGATCCAGACCATGCCAGAAAGTCCAGGACGAGGCTGCCCAGAGCACAGGACCAGGAGGCCATCCCAGGATGGCTCAGCTGCCCACGCTGCTGCCCCAGGGGCACTACCTGGGAGTCCGTGAGGTAAACACCATGGTTCCGGGCATAGGCCGTGCTCCCCGGAAGGGCGATCACTCTGGCTCCCCGGAAGCCGTCCCAGCTGATCCCTGCAGGTGGGGGAGTCAGGAGGCTCTCCAGGGACCCCAACCCAAGGAATGGGGGAATCCCTTCCAGGAGGAGGGCAGGGGCATCCAGGCACCTCTAAAGAAGATATGGTTTCCAAAGCCAAATGGACATTCCTCTGGGAGAATGACAACACCTCACCCCCAAAGTTTGTCCACAGAGCCCTTTGGGGAAAAGGGGGCAGGGCTGGGTATCTCCACTCTATGGACAGGCAGACTGGCCCAGCAGGGGAAGCCCTGCCTCCTGGTCTAAGCTCCATCCTTCAAACCTTAGAGCTGCCCTTGTGAACAGGGCAGCAGGCCAGGCCCAGAGACGGGGTGGGTAAGGAGAGGCAGAGCCACGCTGGCTATGGCTAGGGAAGGCAGTCCCAAGCCTTCTCAGGCTCACCTGGGTTTGGAGGAACAGACAGCAGCATGTCGGTGCTGCAAACCCACACGCCTGGCGGGGAGCCTGGGCCCAGCTGTGGGGAGAGAGAATGAAGCTGGTGGCCGGGCCCAGCCCTTCCTCTGCTCCCACACAGCACAGCCTCGGCCTGTTCCAGGGAGACTCGGGCTGCTGAGGTAACAGGGGCCTCCCTATATCCATGGTGCCGATGCCAGCCCTCCCGCCTACTTCCTGAGGCCGTACCTCCCCGCAGTGTGGCCAACGCTAACATCCTGAAGCTCTAACTAACTCCAGGCACCCGAAGCCATTGTTCCTGGCATCCCCTGTCTGAGCCAGCACAGACTATGGCTGGTGGCTCAGCAGGACAAGACCCCATGGCAGCTGCCTGTCTCACCCGATGGCTCATGATGTCCAGCAAGCAGTCCAAGTTGCAGACCACGGCCTCCACAGGGGCCTGGGGGTTCTCCACAGGGAGGCAGGTGAAGGCCCGGCCACAGTCATCGAAGGGGAAGTCTCGGCCCTGGGGCGGGAGCAGGCACAGGCAGAAGAGCTTGAGGCAGAGAGCCTGGGCAGAAAGCCATCAAGCTAGAGGACTTTTACAGAGTGTGTTCTCATGTGATTTTTTAAATTACATGATCATGGTAAAAAATTAGCAAATGCAGATACACAGAAAGAAAAACAATCCCTCAGGGATAATAACCGTTGCCCTCATTTTGAGGTTATGCCCTTTCGTATACCTCATATGCATACTTTTTTTCTTTTTTTACAAAAATGAAAAAGACGGAGACAACAGAACTTCACACACACGCACACGCACACACGCACACGCACACACACACACACACACACACACACACACGAGTACAAGTCAAACTGGAGAAAGATTGGGAACCATATCAATGTCAATATCCTGGCTGTAATTATACTATAGTTTTGGAAAATATGACCATTGGCGAGCTCTGGGCAAAGTTTACAGAGGCTTCCCTCTGGATTGTTTCTTAAATGTGGATCTACAATGATCTCAATCAAACCTTCAATTAAAAAGGCTGAGATCATTCTATACAAACTTGTGCGGCTGGCCTTTTTCACTGAACAATGAAAATATATTCACCGATGCTCACAGGGAGCCAGGCCAGGCCCCAATTTAAGCATTTGATGGGCCATCTCAGCACATCCACATGAAGTAGGAACTGCTGCCATCCTCATTTTACTGATGAGGAAACTGAGGCCTAGAAACAGTCAAGTGACTGGCCCCAGGTCACAGAGCTGGTCAAGGCACAGGTCGGCGCAGAGAGTTAAATGGACCTTTCAGTCACTGTCTAATATTCCACCAGGAGGATATGCTGCTTATATTTAACCGGTTCCCTCTTTTGGACACCTGGACTAATTGTATTTCTGATTCTTCAGGATTTGCACAAGGCACACTGGCACACAAAGGCAGAGGACCCCTAAAGTCCCATCCAACCCCGAGGACTGACCATCCTTCTGCATGGCCCCTGCCCAGCATTCTACTGACCATGTGCAGGATGAGGATCCAGGCCGAGTGCAGAACATCTGATGTGACCACCTATCAAAAGTGGAAGAGCACTGTTCACAGAGGTCTGGGCGGATGTCACCCTCTTGTGCAGGGAGAGACCCCAGCACAAGTCCACACAAGAACCAAAGGGGGGACTTCCCTGGTGGTGCAGTGGTTAAGAATCTGCCTGCCAATGAAGGGGGACACGGGTTCGATCCCTGGTCTGGGAAGATCCCACATGCCACGGAGCAACTAAGCCCGTGCGCCACAACTATTGAGCCCGTGCGTCACAACTATTGAAGCCCACGCGCCTAGAGCCCGTGCTCTGCAACAAGAGAAGCCACTGCAATGAGAAGCACGCACATTGCAACAAAGAGTAGCCCCCGCTTGTTGCAACTAGAGAAAGCCCGTGCACAGCAACGAAGACCCAACGCAGCCAAAAATAAATAAATAAAATTAATTTTAAAAAAAACAAAACAAAGGAACAACCAGCAAGGTCAAGACCAATGGCCACAGGCAGGCACGAGGCAGCCCTGGCCACTCCTGGATAAGGAAGCACAGCAGCTTTCCAGTTGGGCCACTCCCCTGTCCCCTGTTTTTACGGAAGGCTGCAGGCGAGAACGTGGGGCTGGCTGGCGGGTGACTCGCAGTAAGTCAGCTTCATGGCAACCACACAGTGGTCCCCTCCCCTGCGGGTGCCATCCCCACTGCCAGAGCGTGTCCATGCCTGTGACCACCCTCACTGCCTGTGCCAGGGTGCCATGCAGGCAAGGTGACCTCGTGAAGTGGCTGGGTGTGTGTGGGACGTGGGCCCACGCTCTACACACCAGGGGCCACTGCACCTCAGTTCCAGCAAACCACTGCTATGTGGGAAGGAGCGTCCAGGGTAGCAAGATGAGATTTCTCAAGGGAAGCCAGAAAGCCTAACTCCTAGATACTGGCTCTGACTTTCTAAAACCACTACAAAGGCCGCCCCTGCCTTCTGCCCTCACCTGGACGAGTCGGCTCAATCTACAGACGCAAAAACTGACGCCAAACCAGAACTGGGCAGGAAAATGGAGCCCGAAGAGCTGGGGACCCCGGAAAGGCTCTGTGTGAAGCCCCCAATCCCTGCTGTGCCCAAGGGGGCACTTGAGGAGCACTCACAGTGAAGCCCGCACGGGCACTCAGGTGCTCAGCAACCACCAGCAGGGCGTTGAGGGTGGCTCCTCCACTGCCCACATGAACCTCAGGGTCTTCCACGGCCAACAGCAGCGTCCTGGTGGGGATCTGCTCTCGCTTCTGCCGTATCTCCAGCTCTGCGGTCAGAACATGACTGGGACCTGTCCCCCAGGTCCTCCACCCTGGTTCTCTCCACCCTGGTCCCAAGCACCTCAAGCAAACCTCCTGACAGCCATTATTTAATCTTCTTTGACTTAGCAGCTTTTCATCTAGTAGCTCATCAGATCTTTGCCCAACTCAGTGAGGTAAGTACAATTACTCCCATTGCACAGATGAGAAAACCGAGTCTCAGTGAAGTGACCTATGTCGGAGGTCACGTGGCTAGGAAGAAGCAGAATCTGGGTTTGAACCCGGGTCTGCCCAGCTCCTGGGGCTATAGGGGTATGTGACAAGGAAAGGGGAGAGGGTTCCACATTAGGGGCAGAGTGGAGAGGGAGGTCAACTACCTCTCTGGAAGACCTCGACGCTGTCCTTGTACTGGCATGTCAGGATGATGACCGTCCAATCAACCCCCTTCGGCTGCTCCATTCTGGCCAAAGTTGAGGGGCTTCCAGGGCAGAGATACGGGTAGATGTGAATTTTTTTTTAATTATCATACCCTAAAATTGATTTCTTTGGTTGTAAGTAGTTTTATGAATTTTAATACATGTATAGATTCTTGTGGTTACTACCACCATCTGCATCTTAAAAAGCTCCCACATGCTAACCCTTTACAGTCACACCCTCCTCCATCCCTCACCCCTGACAACCAGCCATCTGTTCTCCAAAGCTATAGTTGGAATGTAATCTTTTGAGATTGGCTTCTTTCACTCAACATAATGCCTCTGAGATTCATCCAAGTTGGCTATGCATCTCCATAGTTCTTTCTCTTTTTTTGCCAAGCAGTATTCCGTCGTATAGACATCGCACAGTCTGTTTCTCCACCCACCCACTAAAGGACACCTGGGCTGCTTCCAGGTTTTGGTAATCATGAATAGAGCTGCTATAAACATTCATGTGCTGATTTAGCGTGAACATAAGACTTCATCTCTCCAGGCGGACACCTAGGTGTGGGATTGCTGGGTCACGTGATGAGTGTATCTTTGACTTCATCAATCTGGGTGCATGACATTTCCTCAGGAGAGGAAGTAAGGGGAGCGGGGTGGGGTTGACAGGGGGTCCCACCTTAAAACAAGGGGCTGCCCTTTCTGTACCGCAGGCCCCTCATCATCCAATCATTGGCACTGAGCTGCAGGGAGGGAGGCTCTAACTTCTAGGCTCCCGAGGCTGAGGGCAATTCCCCGGACAAGAGGGAAGCTCTGGGAGAGGTGTACCAGTTTGTTCAAGCGCAGCATGCTAACAGCACCCACTACAGGGACCTCAGAGGGGACCTCCCCTCCCAGAGGCTCCAAACCAGAAGGGGGCTGCAACCCCACCTGTCAGCCATCTTCCTCCAGGGCACTCTGAGCAAGTGAGGGGAAGGTGAAGCCAAAGCTATGGCTTCACCCACTCCTCTCCCCCAACATTCCTTTCCTACCGGATAAGAAACCAATCTGACTGTAGAGGCCCTGGCCTCCCCAAGACCTCTGTGGACGAGTCCCTAGGAGTGCGCTGGCATCTACCTCTGGCAGGGTCCCAGTTGCTGTCCCATGCAGCAGCCCACCCCCACCTCTTCCCCCCAGCCCCCAAAGCTCAGTGTGGGGAGGGCCGGTGGAGTGAGCTGCATGCCACCCCAGAGGTGCCCTGAGCACACGTCCCTCTGCAGTCAACCCTCACCCCAGCCGGAGCCAACAGGAAACCTGAACCTCAGTAACGGTTCCTTCCTATGCCAGACTCTGCTGCCACCAAGCCTATGGTTAAGGCTGACAGACACGGCCACTTAGCAACGCTCATACTCCCACGAGCTTTCAGGGAAAGCTCCACCACTAACAAAAATTGCTCTGTTCCCTGTTCAGCTCAGGAGGGAAATCCAGAGGGGAAACCTGAGCTAGAGATCTTGGCCAGGCATCTGAGGCCAAAGGCATTCCCCAGGTTACCCATCTGGCCTTCTCAGTAAAGGCAGTGGCTGGGGATTCCAGACTGGCCACCAACTCCCTGTGTGATCTTCGGCACCCCTAACCCTCTCTGGCCTCCTGTGGTAGGGAGTGTAACGGATAGATGCCCCCATCTTGTTCACACGGAGGCCATGCTTCCCACCAACCAATGACATGAAGAAGAAAGACCCACTCCTACAAGATGGGGATCCTCTGACAGGCACTCTTGGCTCCAGAACTCCCCATCAACCCAACAGAAACTGTCTTACAACCGCACTGCAGTCTGAGAGCTTTCTACCCATACCTCCTTTCTTCCTTCCGGTGCTGTCACAGGAAGCAGAACTGAAAACTGACAGCTCTCCCTGCTTCCTCCAGCTCCCTCCCCTTCTTCCCTCCCCCAATAAATCTCTTGCAAGTCTAATCCCATCTTGTTCTCTGCTTCTCTGAGGAGCTAAACCATCATGGGAGTATATCATCTTCCTCTTGGGACTGCCAAAGGAAAAATTACTGTAAGAACCTCTAAATTAAAGTCTGGGAAGTACTTTCTTTATCCTTAAAGATGAAGAAACTGAGGCACAGAGCGATTAAGTGACTTGACCAAGGTCACACAGCTAGCAAGTGGTAGAGCCAAATTTGAACCCAGACACCTTTTTTCCAGAGTCCATTCTCTTAACCCCTACACTGAATCTACTTTGTAGGATGGAAAAAAGAACAGACGTACTAAATATATGTAAAGTGCCCAATGCAATGTGACAATGCAATAGGGATGGCATCAATGATAACAGCCACTAGAAGTGAGCTCATCCACCCATTCTGACCCATAGTTAAGGCACTATGATTTTTCATCTTCACAACACCACTGCTAGGTAAGTATTCTGTCCACCTTACAAATGCTAGTTGATGCTGCATCCGTGACTGGGACCTGGGTGTCTCAGATTCTTATTTAGGTGATGGTGATAATGATGTTTGATCCCAAGCAAACGTGCTAAAAGAGAGCAAGGAAGAAATGCCCCAAGGAGAGTCCAAAGGTCTGAGCCCGGTCTTGGCATAGTGACTGAGAGTCACAAGCAGATGACAGGTCACAGGCAGAGGAGGGAGGACGGCATGATCTGGACTGTACTCTACTAGAAACTGGAGCAGAGGAATAGTCCTGGGCTGGGAATCAACCCCCAGAGGCTGTCCCCAACTCTCCCTCTTCCTGTGTGATCTTGAGCAGGTTACTTAACCTCTCTGAGCCTCAGTTCCCTAATTGAAAACTGGGGCCAATATACCAACCTCCTAGGATGGCTGCATTAAATAAAACATAAAAATATGTGGCACACAGCAGGAGCTCAATGAATGGTAGTTCTCTCCAGTGAGGAAAAGCAACAGGAGAGTTCGACTTGACCCTGAAGCAGGTTGGAACGAAGGCTCTGATATATTCTCTGGGTCAAAGATGCCCCTGTAGAAGAAAAAAATCAGGGAAGGCCTGGGAAAATCAACCAAGGCTAAGTAGCATGCCTTGCCCGATCAGACTAAAGGGTATTATGAGAACAGAACACAAAAGGTGGAACAGTACTGGTGCCATAGGGAGTGTCTTCTTCAGGCACCACGCCAGAGACACGTTGAAGTATCAGCTCATGTGACCCTCTCAACAGCCCTATGAATTGAATTTTACCACACCTACGTTATATTTAAGGAAATTGTAGCATAAATAGATGAAATAGCCTGCCCAAGGACATAAACAGCTTTTACAGGCAGGTCAGGTGTATCCAACTCCAAGATTCTTGTTCTTACCCACCCTGTAGAAACAAGACATCTCTCCTGGAGTCTTTAACCTCTGTCATACCTGACATTTGTACAGAAATCTTAGATAATACAGGCCTCTATCCAATATTCTGCACACTTCCAACAGAACTTTATCTACTGAGGCCAAGTTGAAATAGTTCTTAATGTCCTCAGCCACACGCTGCCTAAAATTAGGATAGGGAAGGGAAGACAGGGACAGAATAAAACAGTAAGGCCTCTTCATATTTGCTTTTTGAAGAGAAGTGGGGCAGGGATTTTGCATTTTAAGGGGAAAAAGTAGCCCCACGGAGGAATCTGATTTGTCTTCTGGGAAGCGAAAAAAGGCAGAAGGAAGGTGATGGGGAGTAAAATTACATTGCAAATTACACAAACGTCATATAATTGAGATTTGTTGATAATGACGAGCCCCGATGGGGTAAACGGAGGCAGGAAAAGCGACCTCAAAGGAAAAATCACCAGCGCCAGCATCCAGAGGCCCACCTGCCTATGGTCCCTGTCCCGGGCGTCCCCAAGTCCCGGAGCTCCTGTAGAAAGACCCAGGCCAACGGGTTGAAGGACCCGCAGACGCCCCTTGGAGCAAGTGAGCGCCCGGGGGCTGCTGCAGAGTTCCCCGACGCTCTTCCCTATCAGGAACCAGGCAGCCAGTGGCCCGGCTCAGTCCTGCGGGTCCAAGAGTGTGGGAAGGAGGCGGAGAAACGGCGCAGAACACTGGGGGTACCGTACCGGTATCCGCGCAGTCTGATATACGTGCCTCCGCCGGCTCTCGGCACAGCAGGATCTTGAACACGGGGCTGTGCGTGCCTTCGCGGCGCACCCTGGGAAATGTAGTTTCAGCCCTCCGCTCGCCCTGGCTTGTCCTCCCCGAAAGCCCAGCTCGGAGCTATCGCCTGAGCCAGCGGAGATAGTCAGGGCAGCGCTTTCCTAAAGGGCAGTGATTCTTCCCTTCGAGAAGTGAGGTGAGGGGAGAAGGCGGCTCCGCTGGGCAGCAAAACTACAACTCCCAGAGGGACCAGTGCGTTGTAAAGACAAAACTCGTTTTCTGAGACTCGGGGTTCCAGGTTTGTGTTTTGTTCGTTTGTTTAACCCCCTGGCGGGGGGCGTGGTGCCGCCGCGTTTACCCGAAGAGAAACAAATCAAACCCGGAGGAAAAACCCCCACAGGTGTTCGGGCGTAAGCGACTACCGTTGGATTGGCAATTGGCCATGCTTTCGCGGGTTCATTATGTGGGTCCTTCCGGTAGAAACTTTTCAACTCTGTAGTGGGAAAAAGATCTGTGGCTTTTTTGGAAAAGTTATGAATGGCAGCATTGTTCGTAATAGCGGAAAACTGGAAACTCTCTCTCCGGGGTACTGGGAAAATAAACTAGGCACATCCATGCAATGGAATACTATGCAGCAGTTAGAAATAATGAGCTAGATCTACATGTTCAATAGGGAAAAGTGTTCAACACACTTTGTTAAAGAACATTATGTATGAGAATCTACTCATGTCAAAAATAATGTATGCGGACATATAGTACATGTGGATAGGAACCGGACTGGAAGGAGCACCCTCTGAGGTGGAGACTGCCAGGGATGGGGATAGGCAGGGAGAACTTGAGCTTTATTTGTATTGTTTGAATTTTTCTTATGAGAATATACTTGCCAAATCTTGTGTCCTTAATAGGGAGCCTGCGAGGCCCAAGCGGTCAGTCTCAGAGAAGATGAGGGATTCTGCTCTAACTCTGTGTAACCTTGGCCAGTCACTTGGCTATTCTGCCTCCTTGTCTTTATCTGTAAAATGGGGTAATAATAGTGTCAAATGCCTAAGATTCTTATGAGGATAAGATAAATAAATTCTTGACTCCATAGTAAATTCTCCAAAAATATTAACCATTATTATGATGATTGTTGTTATTCCCATTCGGACTCCTTAAAGCTGGATCAATGGTTTGTTCACTATTGTATCCTCAGTCACTAGAACGTGCCTAGGACATTGTAGGTGGTTTAAACAATTTGGATTTGTATTGTTTGTTTTTTTGTTTTTCTGGGTTTTTTTGGCCGCACCACATGGCTTGCGGGATCCTAGTTCCCCAGCCAGGGATCAACCCTGGATCTTGGGTCCTCGGCAGTGAAAGCGTGGAGTCCTAACCACTCTCCCACCAGGGAATTCCGAACAATTTGTTGAATGAAGGAATGAATAAAGAGCAGTCCCCTACTCAGCTCCTACTACCCCGCCTCCTCCCCCAAATCTCTCTCCTTCTCTCAGTCTTCTCCCGCTAGAGTCATCCCCCCTCTTCACTTGGCCCAGGTCTCATCCTCCTTCCCCCACTTCAGCACCTGCTCTCTTCTACTGTGAACCCAGCAGGCCTCCAGGGAAGAGATGAGCTGCCTCCCACTGCTGCTCTTCTCAGCAACGCAGATCCCCGCTCTGCAATGGAGTGGAAGGCAGGGATGCCTGCAGCCGCAGCGTGGCGGGGGCTCAAGGAAAACAGCTCCGAGGAGCTCAGAGGCCAAGGGCCTCCTAGGGCGGGCATGCTGGCCACGTAGGGAGTGGCTCCAAGGCCACCAGCAAAGATACTCACAGAAGGCTTTTTTTTTTTTTTTTTTTTTTGCGGTACGCGGGCCTCTCACTGTTGTGGCCTCTCCCGTTGCGGAGCACAGGCTCCGGATGCGCAGGCTCAGCGGCCATGGCTCACGGGCCCAGCCGCTCCGCGGCATGTGGGATCTTCCCGGACCAGGGCACGAACCCATGTCCCCTGCATCGGCAGGCAGACTCTCAACCACTGCGCCACCAGGGAAGCCCCAGAAGGCTTTTTAATAAGATAAAGCCCTCAGCAGCAGACACAAAAGCATGTAGTTCTCCACCCCACGGTCTGGGGTAGGCAGAGCCATGAAAAAACATTCTGATGCTATAATATAGAGTACATTCTAGTAGTTAAATACAGGGTTTGGAATCAGACAACTCCTCCCCAGTTCTCATCACTTTCTGACAGTGTGAGCAAGCCACTCAAATTCTTTGAGCTCAGCTTTCTTCCTCAGTAAGAACACAACAGTATTTGCCTAACCAGGTTGTTGGGAGGATTCATTGAGCCAATGCATATAAAGGGTCTGGCACGGAGTAGGCATCCAACTTCCTTATTAAACAATCATTCTGCCAAAATGTAAGGGTGCAAGTCTGGAAGGCTTCTTGGAGGAGGTACAATCTGCAGGACCCTGCGTGAGATATGAGGCTGCTGGTAGCAGGAAATCCCTCTGGGAGCCAGGACTACCCACAGGGATATCTTAGGTTGAGTTCCCTAGATGCCTTAGGTTGAGTTCTCAGAGCCTGAGAAAGGGATTCTTGTGCAAATGATCTCTTAGGGCAGTGAGGGAGGCAGGATAGGGCAGGGGAAGAAGCCAAGCAAAGATGTCGGTTCAGCTAAGTCTAGCCTCAGTCTGATCCTCTGGGGAGCTCTGGAGCATAAAATACATCACAAGGTTTATCCCTCTTAGAAGCAAAGGAGCTGGACTTTTTATCCCACATCAGTCATTCGTGGGCTGTGGGCAGGCCAAGGGGAGGTAGGAAAGGAGGGCATCTCCAGGCAAAGCAGCTCACAGGGACTGATACCAGTTCTTCAGAGAAGGGTGCATCTATGAGACATTAGCAGCCAGCACTCACAACAGCAGGGGAATGGGTGCAACCATCCCTATAAAGGTATATAACCAAGAGTATTTACTGCCAGGGGACTGGCAAAGAGATGGGAACTGGATGAAGAAAATGGGGAGAGGATATTAAATTCTCCTACTGGGTCTTCCAAGGAGAAGTTGAAGCAGCTGATATGTTTTTGTTTGTTTGCTTTTTTTTTTTTGCGGTACGCGGGCCCCTCACTGTTGTGGCCCCTCCCGCTGCAGAGCACAGGCTCCGGACGCGCAGGTTCAGCGGCCATGGCTCACGGGCCCAGCCGCCCCGCAGCATGCGGGATCTTCCCGGACCGGGACACGAACCCGTGTCCCCTGCATCAGCAGGTGGACTCTCAACCACTGCGCCACCAGGGAAGCCCTGTTTGTTTGCTTTTATTTTTTGCCGTACCACACAGCTTGCAGGATATTAGGGATCCCACAGGGATCGAACCTGCGCCCCCTGCAGTGGAAGTGCAGAGTCCTAACCACTGGACCGCCAGGGAAGTCCCTGGTATGGTTTTATAAATTTATTAATTTATTTATTTTGGCTGTGTTGGGTCATTGCTGTGCGCGGGCTTTCTCTCGTTGCGCCGAGCGGGGGCTACTCTTCGTCGTGGTGTGCGGGCTACTCATTGCCGTTGGCTTCTCTTGTTGCGGAGCACGGGCTCTAGGCGCACGGGCTTCAGTAGTTGCAGCGCGTGGGCTCAGTAGTTGTGGTTTGCAGGCTCTAGAGCGCAGGCTCAGTAGTTGTGGCGCACGGGCTTAGTTGCTCCGCGGCATGTGGGATCTTCCCGGACCAGGGCACGAACCCGTGGCCCCTGCATTGTTAGGCAGATCCTTAACCACTGCACCACCAGGGAAGTCCCCTGGTATGGTTTTAAATAACTAAAACCCAGACCTGATAGGATTACCAAATAGTTAACCCTTTCTGGAGAGCTAATAAGTGTACTTTATAATTAAGTGGCCCATCTTCTCCAATGCCTGATTTGCCTTTGCCAAATATCTTATGCAGTATGTTTCAAAAGGTGCTGCTATAGGATGTTAACAAGTGTTGCTGTAAAGGAGGTACAGATCCATTAAACAAAGGTAGAAAGGTTTATTTTCTTCCCACAACTTTTAAACTAATATACTGGATAAACAAAAATAATGGAATATTATTCAGCCATAAAAAGAATGAAATACTAATACATACTGCAACATGGATGAGTTTTGAAAACATTATGTAAAATGAAAGAACTCAAACACAAATAACTACATATTGTATGATTCCATTTATATGAATGTCTGGAATAGTTAAATCCATAGAGACAGAAAACAGATTAATGGTTGCCAGGGACTGGTGGGAAGAATGGGGGGTGATCGCTTAATGGGTACAGAGTTTTCTCTTGGGATGATAAAAATGTTTTGGAACTAGATAGAGGTACTGGTTACAAAACATTGTGAATGTACTAAATACGCTGAATTGTATGCTTTAAAATGGTTAATTTTATGTTATGTGAATTTCACCTCAATTTAAAAAAACAATCAGGACAAGCTCAGTGTGCTTGTTGCTAATGGGGTGTCACTGTTCTCAGGCCTTCTCAGTGGACACAGCTAAGGAAAAAAATAACTATATGCATGGGGAACCTCTAGGCTAACCTATAAAGCATTTCACAAACAGGTTAGGGAATCCTTTTTTGAGAGCATCTCACAGGACCTATAATGTAGAAGGCTGACCCAGCGCATGGAATGTTGGTGGAAATGTTTTTGTTTGTTTGGGGTTTTTGTTTGTTTGTTTTGGGGGGATGACTTTTGGTTTTGGTCAAGCCGCAGGGCATGCAGGATCTTAGCCCCCCAACCAGGGAACGAACCCGAGCCCCCTGCAGTGGAAGCATGGAATCTTAACCACTGGACCACCAGGGAAGTCCTATGACTCCTGTTTTAATCAGCACTCTTCTTCTGCCTTTTTGTATAACTTTGGAGAAACTGTTTCTCTGAGCTGGGACTTACTTTATACACCAGACCAATGGTCTCCATTGATATAATTGAAAGGACTGTAAAAAAAGTTTAACACTTTTAAAGTCTGTCAGAGTGCTT